AGTTTAGTCGAACTGATGATGGAGCTGGACTCCGAAACATTTTCAATATCGATATGGTGAATTTTCTTGGCGTTTTCTTTGCTTTTAAATTCCTTATTACCTTTATTATTATGGAAGATTGTATTTAGCTTTGAAATTAAAGAAATAATCGGTGAGAAATTTATAATTTCTCACAAACGCACACCTCTGTTGGGATCATAAAGTATTAGTATTAGTTTGGCATTGAGAGAATCTGGGAGGTGAGCAGCAGGGACGGCGTATGAGAGGTGAGCAGCAGGGACGGTGTATAAGAGGTGAGCAGCAGGGACGGTGTATAAGAGGTGAGCAGCAGGGACGGCGCATGAGAGGTGAGCAGCAGGGACGGTGTATAAGAGGTGAGCAGCAGGGACGGCGCATGAGAGGTGAGCAGCAGGGACGGTGTATAAGAGGTGAGCAGCAGGGACGGCGCATGAGAGGTGAGCAGCAGGGACGGTGTATAAGAGGTGAGCAGCAGGGACGGCGCATGAGAGGTGAGCAGCAGGGACGGTGTATAAGAGGTGAGCAGCAGGGACGGCGCATGAGAGGTGAGCAGCAGGGACGGTGTATAAGAGGTGAGCAGCAGGGACGGCGCATGAGAGGTGAGCAGCAGGGACGGTGTATAAGAGGTGAGCAGCAGGGACGGCGCATGAGAGGTGAGCAGCAGGGACGGTGTATAAGAGGTGAGCAGCAGGGACGGCGCATGAGAGGTGAGCAGCAGGGACGGTGTATAAGAGGTGAGCANCTCCATGCCTGGCTGTACGGCTCCTCCATGCCTGGCTGTACGGCTCCTCCATGCCTGGCTGTGCGGCTCCTCCATGCCTGGCTGTACTGCTGCTCCATGCCTGGCTGTGCGGTCGCCTGGAGTCTGTGAGCAGCAGCGGCGAGGGAGCGTGCGCGTCGTTGCTCTCCTCGGAAAATTATTGTTCCTGTTCGGTCGCTGGGACTGAATTGATCTCTTTTGAAGTTCAGTGTAAGCTCGTTATCTCTGAAGGGAATAAGTGAAAACGTTTGTGTGATATAAGATCAAAGAAAACGTCCTTAAACTCTTTGGTATAGAGTTATTTACAGTGGCGACTTCAAGTAAAACTCCTTGAAAATGTTCCGGATAATTCGAGGATTGTCTTATAATAGCTGAGTTATTACTTATTTAGCAATATGGAAGAATATTCTTTACAGCCTTCTCTCAAATATTTTAACTCTAATTATTATTTTTGAGCCTTATAACAACATATTGTGAAAGCTTCAACTAATTTAATTGATATTTCATTGAAAATTAAAACTGTTAATATTTCCACTGCCAAGCCTGCTACAAAATGTTATTTTACGTTATATGTTTGGAAGACATAAAATAGAAATGAGAGCCTAATAGGAATGTTGACAAGTTAGGCAACGTGATGTTATTTTTTGCCACTGTGACCTTGGCGTAAGCATACCGTACAAATCCTGCAGTGCAATGTTGCAGGATTCAGCGCTGAGTTCAGTTGGTGATATTTCCCTTATGGCACATCAGTCGCGTCTATAACTGCTCAGCATTGTCTCCAACAGTTATTATTTATTGCTTTACTTTATAAATTTATTGTTTATTATTTAATAATTTACTTTTTTACTTTTAGTATATTTTGTTATACATCATTGAACTGAAAATTTTGATGCATGTGATCAGAATTCACCTCATTTATTGATATACATCGAAGGATAATCAGTAAATAGCTACTTGAAATCACGTGCGTTTTTGACATGGATGAGCTGAAAAGGCCTTAGCTGTTAAGTGCATCGGACAACTTTCACCATAAAATGTTGTAGAACGATAGGCCGTATTTTTAGCAAGCACAGAACACTAAAGTGATACACATGTCCACAATACTTAACGTGTCAGGATATTAACAGGGCCTGGAATCTGTTCTCGGTGATTGAATCGTAAGTCTGGCCGCAGCCTATGATTTGCAAAATGGAAGGAAGGAGATCGGCTGATCTGAAAATTAAGCGGCTGAAGCCCGTGTTTAAATGATTCTTAGCAGCAATAGTCACACCAACAAGCCTCTGTTCCAAAGTTTCAAATTATCTTTGGTGAAGTTTACTGTGACGACTAAAATTCAGTCTCAAGCGAGGCGTTGCCTCGGCAATGTAGACAGAATTAACCTTATTTACGTCTGCGTTAGCATCAGTAGCCCAGATTTAATCATGATTAATATTATTCCATCCGTGCGATTCTTTTGAGTTCGCACTCGAACTTTTAAGCATCTCGTTCACTTAATTACAGCTCCATTGGATGGATCACTATCTAGCGAAGAATTTTCTTATTGAATCTTAGGCCGCATGATTCTGTCTCACAAGCTTCATGTGTTTTAATAATAAATCGAGAAGTTACATTAATTAAAAACTGGGCAATAACTATAGGACGGTCAATTTTTTAGCTACAAACCTATTTGTTGTTTTTTTTTTCGCAGAAAATTAATCGTAAGAAGAGCCTATACAATGGCTGCTTCCATTATGAGTGCGTCGACATGCGTATTCTTGCTACTTATCTTGACTGCCACTCTTGCTGTGAGACGAGACTCCATCGCTGACTTCATCCCAAAAGTCCCGGAACGCACGACCACCACTCCGGTCACTCACTTAACTCCAGTGCTTCGGTCAGCGTTTGTCAGAAGTGAGTCTGCGTTTGTTTTAGGTTAAGTGTGATGCTGTAGTATTCAGGCCTCTACAGCATCACACTTTCGGTCAGCGTTTGTCAGAAGTGAGTCATCGTTTGTTTTAGGTTAAGTGTGATGCTGTAGTATTCAGGCCTCTACAGCATCACACTTTCGGTCAGCGTTTGTAAGAAGTGAGTCTGCGTTTGTCCAAGGTTAAGTGTGATGCTGTAGTATTCAGGCCTCTACAGCATCACACTTAAGCATCAGACACATGATGTGCGCGACGTAAAATTTATTTTATATACAGGTAGTACTCATTATTTTCATTTTCGTTCAACTTTGCTCAAAAATATAAATAATGTAAATAAGAAATCACCAACCTCCCCGTCACCTCCACGTATAACTTATCAAAAGGCCTGAGGGATCACATCTAAACCCCATACGCCATTCAAACAGGTTCTGCGCCTTTTTTTTAAACGTCTACTGTCCTTTCCATTTCTCCTTCTTTACGTTGGCCACCTTGTGTCACCGCTTGTTCCTATCAATATTTGATAAGAACATATTGTTTTTATCGGTACCGCAACAGTTAAAAAATCGTTTCAATATATTTTTTTTTTGCTTAATTACGGCGATTAGGTTCACTTGCTCCTTGAGAATATTCAGTTTGTAATTAATTATACTTTTTTATGTCATAGAGTGCTTACTGAAATATTAATAATTTTGTACATAACAATTTAGTTGTTGATTGCCTACCTATCAATATTAAGTTCCGTGTCCTAACTAGCGCTCTATTTCTATTATTTGTGAGTAAAGATAAATTTATTAAATTTGTTTATCGCAGACACAGTGTGATCGAATATCTTACCTTATAGTTGTTTTCCATTCTTTTTACACTGAAAAATTTACTAGGGATTGTCATAGATTGTGTCCGATAGAAGTCCGAGGCCACACGAGTGATTTATCAGTTGATAAAATGCAAAACAATAGAAGAGACAGGTACGTTTACTCGTGCCTCTCTGCCGTGCTATCTCCACTGCATGAAAACATATGGCGCGTTGTTGGATGTACGGATAAGACTGCCAGGAGACTGCATGTAGTGCTCATTAAGAATCTGCGTCTCTTTATCATTTTATTTGAGACCCTTTAATTTTATTATAAACATTTAGACCGGTTTCAACTGTTATTTTTAATATGGGACATAGCGAGACAAGATGATACTCGCATTAAATATAGAAATACAAGATGATCTCGCACAAAAAACTAAAATACCAAAACTAATAAGACACAACTCGCCATCTGTTCGCCGTCGTTGCTCCAGAGCCCATCGATTCGTCGACGAGTTCGCCTCAATATCCTGCTATATTCACAACAGTATAATAAACTATTTCATCTGGGTCGTTATTTTTCTCGTAATAAATTGAGCGATTTTTTCGTATTGGTACAAGCCTCGTGGATCAAGTGCTAAATTTTCCTATTGGAAATGCCAAATGCGGAATTTACAATGGGAAATAAATTCAAGAACTGAGTACAAAGGTATCGAGTCGTTTTCGTAGTTTTAGGATAGAAGTTCACACAAAAATTTTTTCATTTACTTTAACCAATTTTTCTCAGCTGATATAATCATAGATTTCTTGAAGTAATCTATCTCTTCGCAATCGTTGCCTGTGGTGCTTGCTCATGAGAGTAATATCTTGCGCCTACACATGTTACGCGTGAGTTAAATTGTGTTTGTTGTATGACTGTCTGAATGAGTACGTTTACCACTTATTACATATATGCTGTGGTAAATACATACATTATTGTGATATTTAAATACCCGTTTACACACCCATGATTTTTGCAATCAAGCATTTTAAGTGTGCTTAAATTGCGAATTCCTGACATGTGACGATATTTGAGCATGGTGTGCTAGGCTGCGTTTCTTACTGAAAGAATAGAATAGAAGTGTCGGCATTGGCCTGTTGCCGATTCTTGAACTTTTCGTGACTTGATTCACAAGGGATCCGGCCTTTGGAACCCAGAAATCGCTATACCTCCGTATAACGACCACAGCCAAATATACAATAATAGGGGGCTTGTATATATCCCTTTACCGCCAAATCGGACTTTCAAGTCGCCTTTCAAAAAAACACTTGTATAGGGAATATTTCTCACTCGTATGGCTCAGCAGCCCAACTGGCCTTCAGATTACACTGCTATGCAAAGCTCTGAAAGAGAATGAGCGGTTTGTTTACATTCGTTCGTCAGTTGCCCGCCAACTTCCGTGGCGTTATGATATGCGACGCTGCACTTGTAACTGTCCCTGATTTGACGTGCAATGGAGGATAAACCAGGTGAGAAAATGTTTCAAAATAATTTGTGCATCTTCACTGATATATAAAGAAAGAAAACAATTGCATACATCAGATATTGAGGTGACATTGCTCTAATTCCATCAGTATTTATCGGGTGGATTTAGAAATCCAGTTGGGCTCAAGGTGCCATGAAATATAGTGGATTTGAAAGTACATCTGGGCGTTGAAGCTGGATAAAATTATATACAAATTTTTTTTATTTCTAATTTTTGAATGAACAGCGATATTTTTGTCATATGAAAGATAATATTTTATAAATTTCACATTTTTAACATGTTATCAGGAAAACTTTATACAGAATAATCGCTGTTATCCTTTCATTCCCTCCACGAAAGAGATATTGTTTTCGACTGTTTGTTCATTGTAGTTATTTTTTTCAGGATCATCGCGCAACATACTACCTGNGCTATATGTAGGTAGTGAAGTATTCTGCTGTAATTTTTTTAAGTTTTAGAGGGGTTTTATTTTATTCTAGTCAATTGATTCTATTCATTTGCCCAAGTGTATTTTGAAAGCCAGTGTAGATTTTTCCTTCAGAAGCCCAAGTGGATCTTAAAGTCGCGTTTATGTATCTATATACATAAAAATATATTTGGTGATTTCTTCTTATATTGCCTTCCCTTGAGTCAGAAACAACATAAATTCATGATCAAAACATTTACTCACTGCATAAAAATAATTCGGGCGGTAAAGGGATATAAGCCGCCAACCTGCACCGAGAGCGCCGTTTAGGCAACACGCCAGGCTGCAGGCAGTCGAACGCCTTCCGGCTCACACGTCCATTCAACTTCAAATAGTAGGCCTTATAACGGCGCCCATGTGGTATTTGTAAATACCACGTGGGCGCCGTTATTAGGGTTACTATTTGACGTTGAATGGACGTCGTTCCCTCCTTGCACTGCAGCTGCATCTACGTTTTAGTACAATTGATATCGACCGGTCTACCCATTTTTTCATGCAATTAATAATTGCAGTATTTAAACCCCGTCGCTTGATGTAAGATTTTATTTTATTTTAGCTCATTCGTGAAAGCCAACACAACAATTTATGAATGTGGCTGTTCTTTTTATTCGTATCTTTTCAGCCCATTCATGTGCTGGCATCTTTATTTGGAATTTGTAGGCCTTGTCTGATCATAAACTAGGAACCCGGTGTCATTGTGCATATGAATGAAACTACCTATTAGGCTATTATACATATAGGATAAACATTAAACGACAATCACTGTTGCTTGAGTAAAGTTGAAATGCGTTTGTTTAAGAGACGGGGAATTGTTGTCGTGATTTTATTACTTCGATCTTTCTCTCTAGAGTAACTCGATAGATTTGTCAGGTTAGTTGGCCGCAGCGGCTATAATGGCACGTTTCATAGGTTATCGATCTGGCAAGTACGAGTTAACAAACGAGGGAAATGACAACATATGGCAAGGTTTAAGCTTCCTATATTACGAAGAAAACCATACACCTATTACCATGCTGGATCAATCACGTACGACATCCAAAACAAGGACATAACAAATCATCTAGAAGGCTAGGTAGATGAATTAAACAACATTCTGGTCAAGAACACGGATTATCGTCACCTACAAAATCGATCAATAATCAGGATTAGACACAAATCTTAAACTACATAACAGCTTTGCCTCCATTAAATTCCTAACGAGTTCATCACCGGGGCTTGTGACCGTTACGGTCACAAGCACTTCGTGACTTGCACCGCTGTAATTATTATTGGATCCTTATGTGCCTCGTGTTGGTCGTAGTGAAACCTTGTGTTGGCGTCTCCTCGATGATGTTCTGAATGCGGCTGTGCTGGTGCAGACTCATCACCTTCTGTGGAGTCAAATCCCGATACTGGAGATCCGAAGAAGGTCGTGGACTGTCGAGTAGTTCTCACTCAATTCGTTGATCAACGCAAGTCGTCTAGATTCTACAAGAACGTCGTTGAACTTAATTCGTTCTCGTTGTAGTTTCCGTAATGTGTTTTCAGCGTCTTCCAATCTTATCGGCTGTCTTTTGCATATGGTATATAAACGTTGTCGTTCCGTTTAGTAGAAAAACTGCCGTATCACCATCCTTCTGCGCATATAACATTGCTCGATCACCCCATAATACGCCGGCCGCCCACTCAACTGGCTAGCTCGCTCGAGACACCCATTCGAGACTCGACTCTAGACTGGACTGACTCTTCCTATTTCTCAAGCCCGATTCGTTTTATAATCTGGTTCGCAACCCACGTAGCGCGTCGCTTAATTTTGACCTAAACCACCCAAAGTCTTTTCCCATCAACAGGAACAACCGCTTCGCCTTATATCTTGCTATTCGCATTCCCTCGCAAGTCACATCTTAATTAACTGTTAATTTCCACTCTAATCATGTCTTCCCAAGACATGTAAAAAATTATTGTAAGCTACGCGTCAAGCATTTTTTCTATCTCATCTGATAATTAGACATCCTAAAACCGAATAACTTTCGTTACGACATTAGGCTGGGTGAAATTTACCCATTTACAATCACCTCAAATTACTATCATCACACTATCTGGGCAGAACTGACCTCCCCGTCAATCACTTCTGATCCTCTCATTATTCAACATCAGCACCACGTGAACACCTTACCAGTGCCGTCTCTCTCCCTGCACATCCATATCAGCGTTCGAAAAATTACTCCAAAATAAAACACATACAAAGAAAAACAAAGATAGAACAAGCCTCGCATACTTAAGAACTCCTCCGTTTAATACTTATCACCCTGAATGAAGTCCTGCGTTCACACAGGAAAAATACACAGAAAGCAGAAAAAATTCTCCCTTAAAACTATCTCTCCGCTAACACTCCTATGATCGCGGCAAGAAATTAATTCCTAATGTAAATGTATACTAACCCTCACAACACAATTATATCAACCTTAAAAACTTATTTAATATAAAAAATGAGCGTCGAACTTAATATAGACGATCGCAATTATGAACAAAGTCCTGGTTGTGACTTAGCTTTATTTGTTTGCTCATCAAAACTTTTTAGGATAGGTATTGAATTTTAGTTGACAATTTTTATGCCCAGTAGATTGACTTGTAGTTAAGAGTAGAGGTTGGAGCGTTTATTTTAAGTTTGAATTACACTAGACTATCGTCTAAATGATAACGAGGTAAGAATGTGATTGAGTTAAATGATGACAAGAATTTAATTGTGTACGAATTGGTGATAAATAATAAGGATCGGTATGTGACAAAAGAGTGCGAGTATCAGCAGCGTGAGATATAACCAAAGGATGTCTGACTAGGGAAGAATTCGAATATTTTGCGGTTGATTTGAAGGGAAAGTGCTTATATGAGTGAGTAATAAAACTGACTTGAGTTTGAGGTGACGTATAAATGATAGACTCAACTGAGAATTTTTAAAAGCCAAAGTGATGGTTTATTTTGCTGAGAAAAATACTGAATAATGTGATGTTTGATGAAAAATTCCAAGAGAACTTGAATGATACGGAAATGTTTAGGGGAGCTTCAGGCAGTTCAGGAAGGAAACTCGTATTGCCAGGATGGCTGAGATTTTGACGTGATGAGGCGCCGTTGATAAGGTGCGATGATTTTTGATCAAGTGTTGGCTCTGGAAAATGCACACTGGTTGAGGATATGTTTTAGGTAGGGATAGGTTTTTTTTCTTTGTGTTTAGTTCGACAAACTGCATTCAGTGCATCCTGGATAAATTCTTAAATCAGTGGTACGCAGGTGAAATTGTTTCTCGTTGCAACCATAAATATTGAAACTGACCCAGTACATAAGTGCTGCGGTAAATGAGCTGTAAAATCCGATGTTCGGAGTAACATGATTTGATAAAGTAAAAGGTGATAAATATGTAAGAAGTTAATATGAAATGATATTTATGTGTTTGAGTTGTGTAAATGAATGTTGTATTTGCGGATAATATTTTCCTGATAAAGAGACGATGAGGTGTTCTAATGTGGTAGGATTATTTTTCTTGTTGATGTTTCACATGATGTTATTTTGTGTTTTAAGGATTGGGAACAGTGACTTCCAAATATAATTAGGCAGAGAAGTATAACGTGCGGAATAATTGTATACTGATTATTACAGAAATAATTGATCTGTGGATGAATAGTTGTCTTAAATATTTCATTGCTCCTTTTTTTATTTAATATATGCACGTATATTTTGTCATAGAATTTAAGAAGGGTAACTCACAAAAAAAAAAAATAAAAGATTAGTGAGCGTAGCTAGCGGTTTTTTTTCAGGGAACATGAGGGGAAATGAATAAAGTAGGTAATAGTGAACCTGTATTATGCGTAGGTGTTGAGAATGCTATGAATGCGGTTCGAAGCGATGAAGTATGTACAAGACGCTATTGTTCTCGAGACCGTAAGACCGAGGGTTTATGACCGGGGTATCTTGCTTGGAATGCTCAAGGGCGAAACTGTCGCGGCGTCACTTCAGCTTAAATGTGGGCGCACCAGCGTATATAACGGCCCTAAAATTCGCTTCAAAGGTTGTTCTACTGTGGTGACTGGTGACCGTCACGCCAGTACGGTCTGCAGCTGTCCCCGCAACGGCTTCAGCCGTTGGACGGCGGGTCGCGAAATAACGGCATAACGGGCGGCGGGTCGCGAAATAAATAAACATCGACTCAGTCATAACACTACAATTCCGATAAAACTACGTCAAAAATCTATAAGGAATGACTCTGACATATATATGTACGGTCAACATCAACACTCCGGCTGCGACTCATGCAGCCGTGTGGCAACGTGAGAGACGACGAGATTTCCAACGATTATAACGGCGGAAATCATGAAGCTTCAAGTTTTGAGCACTGCATACGAATTATTTTATCTGTACGGTCATAAGCACGGCATGGTCACTGTGATCATCAGCACAGTACGGTCATAATTCTCATCAGAAGAAGCGGTGTGGTCACGATCGCCAACAGCAGATCGAAGTACGGCAGCGAGCTCGGAGTAATATATTCGACTATGAAAATGAACGCATGAGTACGTACGAAATGAACATATTCATGAGTACGGTCGTTAAAAGAAACCTACGGCCAGGCTCAGCGTGACACATTTTTATCATGCAGCGAGACACAACAGTTACGGAGAAAGAAAAGACTGCGGGAGGCGACTGCAGGGACGCGCGGCAACAGCCGCGGTACGGCCGCTGCTAATACGGTCGTAATGTGCGCGTGAAGAACGGTCATTTACCATACAACAGACAAGCAAAGGATCAATGTTTCTAGTAAATAGGGATGTTTGAGTGATCTTTACAGATATGTTTTCAATTTTGATTGTGTTCGGACTTTCTTTTCCATGTACCAGAGATTTCTGTCAACGTGTGAATTTCCCATTTCCCATTTTTGAATTTCCCATTTTATTATGAAATGTACCAGTGTTTCATAGAAACCCTCTCTCTGTACGATTTTCGCCGTAACCTATTCATACGAGAACTTATACATACAAGCCTAAAGTAAGGCACTACGGAAACCAACCAGACAGAATGAAAGCAATTGCCGATCGAACAATTAAACCCAAAATCTTCAATAACGTTATAGAATAGAATAGAATAGAAGTGTCGGCGTTGAAGAAATAGGCCCATGGCCTGTTGCCGATTCTTGAACTTTTCGTGACATGATTCACAAGGGATCCGGCCTTTGGAACCCGATCTTTCCATAGCTGACGATTGATTGAGATAGCTGCTTTTTGCTAGGCATTTTAAGACTGGACATATGCTCCTGCATAGCTTCGTCTAGTCTGTTTTTGAAGATGCTCATACTCGGAGCGTCAACGATGCTATTAGGGAGGCTGTTCCACATGTCGGTGACTCGAAGCGAGAAGAAATGTTGTCGCATGAATGTGTTCCAACGCTGTTTTTTTAGTTTATAGCCGTGGCCCCTGCTGTTGGTTCTTGTTTATAAATTTCAATAACCATCATCGACCAAAACTCCCTCTTTTAGAGCAAATGTTGTTAACAGGAACAATGTAATGTACAATGAGAGTTTTCATCAAATGCCACTTATAAATAGGACAACTCTATAGGTATCTGAATTGCGGGTAAGTACATAATAGATAATCAGCGCAAATAAAAACTTTCGAGTGGTTTTATTTTTTCAGATTGCGGCCAAGTGGCCTCCAACGCTGGAACTCATCGTTTTCCGTGGTTGGTGAGTGGGTGGTAGTCATAGTTCACTTTTAAGTCTTCAATATCTCAAGCGAGCTGCACTCTTCTATAAATGACAAGTACTTTTTTGCACTGGTTCTGAATATACCGAATAAATACTTCCATTATACGAACCCTTCAAAAAATTCCTCAACAGCCAAAATGACCATCGTACACTCGCCGCGAAATGCCTATACCACAAATAAGTCAATCTGTTTAATAGTCAATCAACAGAAAACAATGCAGCAAAAGCCGACCAATAATGCGTAGATATTACAAATCAGACCATACAACAAACAATTACCGACAACACAACTTGACTCTCACAAGCTCGACACTAATCTAAATAACAACATTAGTATTGGATGCACACATTGACAGACTATCCTGTCAGCAAGGATTTTGAGCAATATTATCACAATCGATAGAAGTTAACAACAACATAGATTCAACATTTCCAGGTCTCGACTCGGCTAGGATATTCAACGTCTTCCACGCTCCTTACACCTAAACCACCGACGCCGAATGTGACCGAATTACCTAGTACATCGATGAGGAGGACACACTAGAATCTACGACGATAACCGCCAGGACGTAACCTATAGTTACAAAAGGCTCCCATCGACCTCAACCAGTGAGAAAGAAAATTTAGAGTAGACCAACATTAATTGGTCGCCATTTCGGCATCAGGAAATTAATTTCGGCATCAGGAAATGACAATCCTACAACTGTAAAGCTGTTAAGAAGTACTAAAAGAGCGTTGCAAAATTCCATTAACACCGAATAATATTTGGTAAATTGACGAACTTCAGAAGAGAGAATACGGACTAAAGCTCTCAAGTAAAGGACTTTGATTCGACGAAAATTGATCCGATGAGACGCGGCAAACTTGAATTAAACAAGCACAATATATCAACATGATTCCAATATATCAACATGACATATTTAACAGCGTGGGCCGAATTACTACCACTATAAAAACCACTTCCAAAAAACCAAAGCGACCACTTCTAAGTCTCCCCTTCCAACATGATTTCACTGCTCTCACTAAGAATACAACAACACATCGTCAAAAATTTGAACAACAAAAAATTTGCTTAGTCAAACATTTACAACAACTATCGCACAGACAATGTCATCTTCATTAATAATCACTACCTCATCAGCACCAACACTTGAAAATTTTCGACTATCATCCCTATATAACAGCAAAAAAGTGAACGAAGCACAATCAGGTACCGCCATACCAATGAAAAGTCACATTCCGTACAAACTACATGCCAATTTTCGTTCAGACATGCTTGCCATAACTATATACACTCAAAAAGGACCGATCATTATAGGAACAACCAAAACATCTCCAGGAATTTGCTGCATTAATCATATTGACTTAAATGCCGACCGTTCAGGAGAACAGCTTCACACCCTCATAGTATGAGAGAAATGCACCCAAAAAGGCCTCTACTTTACCCACTCTCATTACCGACAGAAGCAATGCCTCTCAAATCGATTTTCCGAAACAATAGACCCACAACATCTACGTACAACCCGAACCAATCACTCCCTCAGATAACATTCCATTCACAGAGGCCTCTACTTTTCCCCACTCTCACTCATTACCGACAGATCGATGTTATCAAAACAATAAACCTTTTCACGACGATCACCTACAACCCGAACCAATCACTCCCTCAGTTAACATACCATTCAGCAGCACCATCTCATCCTAGATAGAGATCCCAATCTGATCCCAAATCATATATCAAAATTGACTGAACACTGCATAAACAATTACTCACTTGCCACTCTGTACCCTCAATGCCTGACACATCACTTGAAGAAATAGACTCCTACTTTGATACTGGAGAAAACTAGTTCCAGACGCCCCCGACACAGCCAGCCTCAGTATCACACATCGCATAATCTTCGTTATAAAACCCACATACGAAACTTTCCTAATTCAGACACAGTACCAAGCGTCCTTGCAACTCATATCAACTCACAGCCCAAACGACAGCACTCGGCAGACAACTTACTGCTCTGCACACGTAACTCAAACCCGCTTACCAACGCCTCCAAACAAAAAATGGGAAGAACTTATCACAGCACTCGAGCTCAAGCAAGACACGAAACAATTCTTTAAATCATTAATGCGGATGTTTGATTCAAATACGAAACAATTAGTCCCCAACTAAAGGTGCGAAAACACTCAAGTAGACTCTCCTACAGAAAGAACCCATATTTAGACAACATTGGCAGAAAATGTTCGCCGAAACAGGCAACTACCAACTCTGAACGCAATACCATTGAAAAACTCATAAATCTTATCAGACCATGAACACTTTTCAGCATAAGACCACCAACAAGTTCGGGCTCTTCTGGTTACTCGGACTTTTTATGAGGGCTTATGTATTGCATTGGATAGCCTATATGATTGTTTGATTTTAAGTGAAAAATCTAAACGGGCCCAGGTATGCAGTTAACCTGCCGACGACTACAGACTAACGGAACTCACCAATGAAGAGTGACTTACGGTAGAGACGAGACCGATGATCTAGCACAAATAAATAAATTACTCCTCAAACCAACTATCTGAATATCGGGCAACTTACCAATACCTTCAACTTCATCATCATCACCATGATCACCATTATTTCCTTTTCCCTCCTCAGGATTTTGAAAAATACAAACGAAATAAGAACGTTTTAAAGTAGAAAAAGTGGAATGCACATAAATAAAGAGGGTACTTATCGTTTTAATTATTTTAATATTACTAGAAAATGAAAATATTGTATATATTGAGCCGCAAATCACTCTTCACAACCCCTTGAGTAAACTGTCCAAAGCCATGACGGTTAAACCTCTCCGACCCCACACCTAGAACTTAATTAATTATGCGCTATGCACCTTCTTTATCTCCTATTTTCTTTTTCGTATCTCCTTTCGCTTTCTGGCCACTTTGTGCCACCTCTTGTTCTCTTCCACTCTTCCCTAGTGGCACCGCATCTTCACCACTAGCCATATCACCATTAAAAATATGCTTATATTTTTACGTAATTGATAAAGGCAATGAAGGTATATTACGTAATATCATTGCTACGTTATTGATAAAGGCTATAACATAGCACTAAGTTGGAAAAATTGAGCAAAATTTCTATATTACTACAAATTGTTGTTAAAACTGCATTATGTTGTCGATGATATTGCGCATAAATAAGCATATCTCTTCACGATAAAACTGTATAAATTATTATTATCAATTTATAAATATGAAATAGAAGTTTCTACGCTAATCTTTCAGATGTGTTATCCACTTCCGAATTGTAGGGCTTCGAATAATATATCGACGTTAAAATGTTATAACTTCAAATTCCAATAGATATCATTCTATTCCATCGAGATTCACGTTAGCTAGAAAAAAACACAGATCTTCAATCGATTCAATTCTCATAATAGAAATTTCGTAAGAAGAACGAGGGAAATGAATGACGCACCATGCACTTCTGAAACTATGCGTGAGCAATTACACAATTTTTTACCGAATCACAAGACAAAGTAATTTTGATCAGAAATAATATTTTACCGTTCTTAGCATTAAAAACCTGAAAAAATATAACTCATCACTCACTGCAGCATGAGTGACAGAGAGCGCATTTTCTCGTCGACGAAAACGTGAAGTCACGGGCGGACAGACGGACGGACGGACAGACGGACATGGCGAGCACAATAGTGCATTTTTTCCATGAATGAGAAAATGCGCTAAAAATACTCATCTTATCTGGCACTATTGCACAGATTTGAGAAGTGCGTATGTAGGGATCTGTAATGATTGAACTTATTACACTCGTTGTTTCACTTGGTTATTTGTGGAACCTATAATGAAAGGAACCCGTTGACGTCATTACAGGATCTTAGCTGAATATTCAGGCGTACTGTTGGAAACAGAGGGAGAATAAGAACAATAGTAACTAATGTGTGGGACGTAGAATAAGTTAAGGAGTTGAAGATCTCGTAGCAGCGTAAGAATTCAGAGCTGACTTGTTGTGGGACCAAAGCAAGGACTAGTTTAGTGAATTCAGACAACTGCAGAGTTACTCGACTTATTGTAAATTTGATTTTGTTCATGCAGGGAGAAGTCAACCCGGATAGAAGATCACAAGAGGCTATAAAGAAGATTCAGTGTTGTGCTTGTATAGTCTGTTACTGTGTTGTGAGGAACATCTACAGTGCTGTGCCCTAGCATATGAAAGAAGATAGTTCTATACCTATAACGATGCCCATATATTCATCACGTAAACGTTGTTCAATGTTCTAAATTTAAGTGTTCACTTTTCATTAAATCTAAAGTAATTGTGTTAATTCGAGATCATTAATTAACCTCGGCACGAAAGATCATAACAGCGTACAACACATACAAGAAATGGAAAAATAGACTATAACCTAATTGTTTTAGGGACGGATCTTCAACAAGACGCTTCAATAGATTTTTATGTGCATAGCTTCATATAACCATATGTTTGACTTTATGGTCGAAAATAATTATTACTTATGATTTGCTGTTGTAGGCGGTGATGGGGCGCGGCGTTCGTGATGGTACCCAGTGGGTGTGCAATGCAGTGCTGCTCAGCAGAGACTGGCTGCTCACCGCTGCCCACTGCCTCAAAAATGAGTACGTACAGCTAGCATTGTACTGACTAAACCAACATGAACTTCTACAAAAATATTTTTAATTCCATTTGATATGACCATAATTTGGCTTTAACGTGAATTTTAACGTGTATCACTGCCAAATGAGTTGATAAGACCTAGACTGTTGCACAGAGTTGGGTTTGCAGCTGACAAGTTGTGAAAATTCTGGTCGAAATCGGCATGGTGGCCGGATTGTCTGTGACAGGTCTGAATGACCTGATCGAAAAAATCTGATCTCAGTATGAAATGATTTTTTATTAGTATGTAATTTGTGTTATCACATCGCCTGCGACTGAATTGAGCAGTCTTTTAGTTACGCTTCCGTTCTGAAATTAACACATACTGTATATTAACTTCTTATGCACATTTAGGAACTTGCATCCTCTCTTCTTTTGGAATGACGAACTGCCTCGTGATTACATAAAATTAATCCTCACTCACAAATAAAAAATTTATTGCCGGAAAAACTCCGCGTAAAAATTTAGCAATCAGTGGTAAAGCATTACCATGAAAGATAGAAATATTGTGATAAATTTTTGCCACGAACTCAGGTAAAACTTCAAAACTGAATAAAAGCTTCAGCATGTCGTGCCGAAATCGCGGAAATGCTGATTCTATGGAATCGACAGCCAGTTTGCCGATTCTGTACAATCAGCATTTCTATACTACATAGGAATCTGGAGTTAGGTAAGTCAGCCAAGTTCTTTTTTAAATATTTATATATGAAGGTGCTTAGCTGAACTTGACATAACCTTTTCTAACTCTAACTGCGGATTTATGTTCCAACTCTAACGTCCGATTTTCTGAATCAGCAACGAAATAATATGCTGATTCTGTAGAATCGGCAAACTGGCTGTCGATTGCATAGAATCGGAAATTGCGCCATTTTGGCACGATGCGTGCACATATTTTGCAGCACAGGTTTGGATAATCATATCCATTCCGAAGCAACCATCACGCTGTGTATTTCCAGACAAGCGCAGCATTCATGACAATATTTGGCTCCACTTCTGGTACTGACGTTGTTAAATTAAAACGCTTACTTGGGTGATCAGGACAATATCATTCGAACAATGTTCGGGACTGTCTGGCGATACGAATCATTTACAAGGACCTTTTGAAAACATTTTTCCGTTATGAGAAAGTAGTGTTCACTTCATTTAAAAAAAATCTGAAATGCGTTTATCCATGTGATGGCCTCCATGAAATTTTTTGATTAGTCAATATTCAAAAAAATATAACTCAGTACTCACTGCAGTGAGTGACAGAGAGCGCATTTTCTCAAAATCGGCGAAAACGTGGAGTCACGGACAGACGGATGGACGGACATGCATTTCGCATTTTTCCATAAATGAGAAAATGTTCTAAAAATGACGCAACATTCTAGAAACGTCCGTCCCTCCAGCCTGCACTCTCGTCATTATTTTGTGTCAGCGACGGCCACACTAAGGCTGGGTTCACACCTTACTGCCGGGCACGCGCTGTAGCGGGCCAGCCTTGGCCGCGCTTTAATTAAACGCTGTAAGTTTTTTTCAAGAGGCACACGTCCATGACAAAGACTGAAGAGAAAAAGTGGGAGTTGCTAGTTTTCTCTGGAAGCAGCTGATTGCGAATAGGCAGCCTGCTTTTGCCTGACTAATCACACATTTTAATGTCCATAAATTTCCGAAGGCCAGAAGTTAATGATGTTTTGTCAATTTATTCCCATTTAGAAAATTTGGCCACTTATGCAAATAAATTCCTAAAAATTCATATGTTTAGAGAAAACGTTTCGGAATCTAGCTCCATCGTCGGTATGTGAATCTAGAATTCATATAAAAACAAATTAATACAATAATTGAAAGTCACAAAACCGAAATTAAAATATAAATTTACAAATAATATTCATGAATAATTTTACAAATAATGAAAAATCTATCTATTCACAATTTCAAGAGGATAAGAGCTAAAAGCTTAATTCAAACTAGGCCTAAGTTTAAAAATGTATAATAATTCTAAAATACGCAAATCTGAAGTACCGGAGGTGGAAGCTAACACCCTGAAGTCACTGTCAGAATTAAGCAAGGGTATCACAATGCTTGGCGTGAGTGCGAACAATTTCGGTTCTGCGACTTTCAATTGTATTGATTTGTGATTTTTTATATGAATTTTAGATTCTACGATCTGACGATCTAGCTGGACTCCGAAACATTTTCTAAATATATATGAATGGGTGTGGAATTTTCTTTGCTTTTACATACTTGCATTTAGTTCATAGTTCAACGTCGTGACCGTGGATTCTATACTACATTAGAATATACTTTGTGGTCTTCGAACATTACTTTGAACAATATACTCTGTGGCCTTTGGGACTAAATGGTTAAGAAAACATTTTTTCCCGGCCGGACGTTTCTATTGTGACGCGACAATTTTATTTCTGAATAAAATTTTTTCAGGATATCTTAAGACTCCGACATTTATGGACGACTGTCAAGTTTATTCATAAAAGGGTAGGATGGAGATTCATTCATTATTCTGCCTCGTCGAAGGCCGATACTTTACTCAAAACGACGAATTTTGTTCGCATTATAAACAAAGAACGATCAGTGCAATACTTGAGAATCAAACTTGCATCTGGAATCGAGAGACTCATGAAAGAAAATAAAATGATAAGATATCGTTGTCAAAAATTATTCTACTTGAATAGCGAATTAAAAATTCATTCGAGGCTATAGGGTGCTATCAATTATTGTTCATGGTCAATACTGTGCTTGAATGTTTTGCAGGAATGCTGATGTCGTGAGACTGGGCGGTTCTGACAGCAATAATGACTACGTGTTTGACACCTACATCATTCACCCTCTGTTTGGAATAAACAGCACCTTCGCCAGCAGGTTTACCCACGATCTTGCTCTTGTTAAACTCAGGGACAGCGCGCTTCTGTCGGTGAGTATGGATGGTGATAGTAATACATTAAAAAGGGTAGGGACTTTCTGGATAAAATCAGTTCAAAATACCTCATAAGATTCAACTATATCTGCGAAATATTAACTATTGAGGCAGATACTGGCATCTGATAAGTTTTGTCACCAGCTTTATTTCTGATTTCAGTCGTTTGCGAGGATACTTAAAGACTGACTAAAGGGTACAGACGTTTGCGAGGATACTTTTAAACATTTTTTTATCTAACGCATGCAATCTGGTAGGTTACAGAATTAAAATATGACGGAAAAATTATTTGACGCTTGATTAATAAGTTCGCAAAAATTACAATCATTCATTCACTCATGTCATTATTCTCACATATTTGGACCTTTTTTGCACAATCAACAACGTAAATAATTGATGCCATGTGTTTTTATGTTCGTTTTATTCAATTTAATAACAAAAGCATCATAGCGTATTCTTCCTTAAATAATAACAGTAAATTCATCAGTTATTCACACCCAGCAATAAAATTATGTCTTGCGTTGTTTGCAAGGAGAGCGTGCAGCCCTTGTGTCTGCCTGACAAAGCCGTGGTGGGTTCCCTGCTCGGCAAGCGCCTCACCAAAGCCATGTATGGTAGTAACGGAAGTAAGCATTCAAGCTCTTCTGCGATCATAATCAAAATCTGGGTATAATAAGAAAGAAATACCTATGCGTATTTTACTTCATATATATTTTTTTATTTTTATCGTATCTTCCAATTTTTTTTAAATTTTATTTATGATGAAATATTTATTATTTCCAAGGCAGATATTATTGACACGCTAGGATGATGATTTCAATAGCGATGCAACATGTTACCATAGCTCATATGATAACGCAGAGCATGTACAAATTGTTGATCTCCATAAGTATTTATGGCCAAGTGTAAGATACTCTTGCAATATTGTGATTATGGATCTATATTTTATATAATGTTTTGCATAGGGTTGCATGGTAATCCAAAACTCAATGATACTGCTATGTCATATACCAGTATGTTTCCTATTCTAGTAATAATAATATTCAAGCCTCAAATAAACACCAAAATCAAAGCGATGTCTGGTGAATTTACACTCTAGTACATTCAAATGGTTTAATGTTTTGCTTCTTCTACACGGTTCTCATTACAAAGATTCTAAATTGCGGTACCAGTGGTAGTAGTGCGCTGCTTTCATCAGAGGACATAAGGATTATAGGGGCCATCTCGGCCCCTAATCCTTAAATCTCGGCTAAAATTTTATCTCGGCTATTTACAGGCGGATCTCTTTGAAACTTGGTACACATATGTGAAACCAAAAAAATAGACGGTTTCTATTCAGTTAAATTTTTCGAAAAAAATGAAAGAAAACTTGAAATTCTTAGAAAACGGCCAATAAAGGGGGTACTGTAGAAATCTATCTCCTCCTAGGATCTTCAAGCTACAACATCGAGACGCATATCATTCGATGCGTAAAGACCATATCTATCGATTCATCTTAGCTTTTTTCGAAATTCTTATTGTTATGGGTGAGATATGTATTTCTCTGAAATTTTTCGATTCCCCCCCTTTTGATTTTCCACCCCTCTTTTTAGCGCTTTTTCTCATTTATGAAAAAATGCGCTATTGTGCTCAGTCATTTCCGTCCGTCTGTCTGTCTGTGACTTCACGTTGACGAGTATCCATGATACTCGGCAACGCGAAAATGCGCTCTCTGTCACTCACTGCAGTGAGTACTGGGTTATATTTTTTCCTGAGTATTTTCAAAATTATTACTAAATTTAAAAAACTACGACCAATCTCTAGATCATTTATTTGCGAATCGAACGGTATATCTCTCATCACTGTCTCTAGGAGACAGTGATATGAGACAGTACATAGGACTCCAATTCTAGTAGGAGATAGGTTTGCAGTGACAATAAGTGCGATGTTCAGTAAAGCGCGACAAAGCCCCGAGTGCCCCGAAATAGGCACTCAATTTGGCATGGATACCAGACAAGAAGTTACTTGAGCTGAAATTTAGTCACGGACGGAGGGAGCGACTGCATGAACGCCATCCCGAATGACAGTTGCCGGGAAACTAAAGTGCATCGTGATCGTCTTTAGACCAACCTTTTATGTGCTCGGCCGGTAATTTCCGCCTATCAATAAAATAAGGAAGAACTCCACGACATCTAACCCTTTCGCAATCTGTCGTAAACGCATAAATAAACGTACAGAGATAATTTTGGTCCCGTTGGATTTGTCAGAATGTCAGCTTTAAGAAGAGACTAAAAGCAGGAAAAGCCAAATCCAAAATTTTCCGCCTTAATTAATAAAACCACCCGTGTCTCTTATTCACTTTTTAATATTCCATCTCAACGTGAAAGCTCTGCACCTTACGCTATTAATATAGATATTTCTGCGCAGAATTAAAGCTTCAACACGGAGAGGTAACTGTGTTGCCTCTGACTCGGTGCAGCTACTTTAACGACCAATCTCCTGAGAATTACAAGAGTTTCTCTGATGATCAGGTTGCCTGCTTGGGCGACCCAGTTGGAGAGCTCGACAGTTGTATGGTAAGCCCTTTCATGCAGCTATTCACTTTTCCACGTAAGAAAATGATTTGCAAAATACAACACAGAACATCTACTTGGTAATCTTATTATGCTTTTACAATTCGTAATGCAGCGAAAAACGACGAACGGTAGTGGTCCTTTCCCTCATCTAATAATTGAATGAATTGCACAACCAGAGGAAAAAAGCAGCATTATTTGCATGACTGGTCGACATATTCTGCGACCTAGTGCGTGATTTGGTTAATATAAAACCGATTTTAGTGGTAGTTATAAAGCTCTGTATGAAATTCAAGGTGCTTATGATAGTTTTTTTGGCAACTTTCCTGCTAAAAAACTATTCACTTTCGAATACAGACACTCTGACGAGAGCAGGAATTGCCATTTTTGACAACTGTTTTGTGATTTTTTGCAGCTCAATTAAACAGGAATATCATTAACGCACTTAAGGTTTGAATACTATTTGTGCTTATAAGGCGTATTATCAATTAAGAAAATTAAATAATTATCACCCTTTAATCCTATATAGAACTTGTTCCTCCTTGGGTTAACCTACCCTAAATATTGTGGCTGCGTGAGATTTTAACCTACCACGCATACGATGGCCACACGTTGACTGTTTAGGACGACACCGAGATCAGGACATGACAGAACCGAGGCAACACAGCTACTTCGATTCACTTGGGAGCACCTGCTAAGCTAAGGCAACAGATGCTGGTGCCAATAAGAACATAATATCCTGGATCTATTCTTTACCAGCAATGAAAAACTGGTTGCTGATATTTTTGTTGTGGAGACCGCACTGTCAGACCATCGACTAGTGATGGTCGAGACAGCAATCGGGATTGGAAAGCAGCCCAGACCTACACTTTGAGAGGGACTAGCTAGGCTAAGTTTTCATCATCGAAGATCAGACTGGAAGGCCATTGGGAACGAACTCCTCGAAGTCGACTGGAGATCCGAGTTCCTGAAGTTAAATGCCGTAGCAACGTACAACAATCAGTGCGAAGTATTACTGCAGGTATGCGAGCGTCACACGCCGCGAAGAGCGTCCCCCAAACGGCACATGATTCCAAGGGACAGCCGGATCTTCATGAGGAAACGAGCGAGTTTGAACAACCAGATACCGTCCGCCTCCAGGAAGATGGAGAGGAGTAAGCTGGAATATCTAGAGGAGAAAATTGAGGATACTGAACTAGTCTTGCAGGACTCACAAGAGGCTGAACAACAAGTTGTAGAGGCGCGAGCGGTGGCTGCCATACAAGATAATCCCAAATACTTTAAACAAATATGCCCAATCAAAGGCAAAAATCAGAGCCTCAGTGGGGCCACTGAAAAATAACGTTGTCCTTATTCGAGACGACAGGGGCATGTGCGACCTGCTAGGAGCGTAGTTTGAAAAAGCATACATTGAGTTTGAAACGCTGGATCTAGAGAGGGGTATCCAAGAATTATCGACGAATTCGGCTCCCGGGCCATATGGGGTCCCTGCAGTGTTACTGAAAAATGTGTCGGAGCATTAAAGTTCCCTCTGACTTTACTCTGAAAAACATAATTGAGAGAAGGAAATGTTCCAAGTGACCTGAAACTGGGGCTAATATCCCCTATCTACGAAGGAGGTGCGAGAGAAAAACCCCAAATTACAGGCCGGTTACATTAACATCACACGTGATCAAAATATTTTAGAGGGTTGTTACCAGAAGGTTGGAGCAGTACATGGAAGAGGCTGACCTTTTCAACAGAAGACAACACGGTTTTAAACGAAATCGTTCCTGTTTGTCTCAGCTACTGGAGCATCATCACCAAATCCTGGCCATGCTGGAGGAGGGGGCCGGGATGGACGTGGTGTATTTTGACTTCGCGAAAGCGTTTGACAAAGTTGACCATGGAGTGCTCTTCAGAAAATTACGACTTCCTTTCAGAAAGCTTCCTAACAGAAAGACTACAAGCTGTCGTTGTAGGAGGCTCGAGATCGAGTGAGGCTAGGGTGACGAGTGGAGTACCACAGGGAACGGTACTCGGCCCAATCCTCTTCCTCGTTCATATCGCCGACATAGATGTGGCAGTGAATCACGCTTCTGCATCGTCATTCGCGGACGACACAAAGATACCAATGACCATAACGGATAGGAGAGACTGCAAGAGGTTGCAAGAACACCTCGCTGCAATATATGGCTGGGCCCAAGTGAACAACATGCAGTTCAACGGGACCAAGTTTGAGGTTTTGATGTGGTACAGAGGTAGCGGAAGAGCTGGTATGGAGCACCGCTACCTAGCACCTGACAACTCGGAAATCTAGGAGTGTTGATGAATACTCGGGTCAATTTTGGTGATCACATAACGGCAATAACCGCATGATGTAGGCGACTGATGGGGTGGATCTGGCGGACGTTCAGAACTAGAGAAGTGGAACTAATGATCACACTCTTTAGAGCCCCTGTAATACCAATTCTTTAAAACTGCTGCCAGCTCTGGACCCCGTTCACACTCAGCGCAGTGCGGCAACTGGAAGGTATCCAGCAAACCTTCACTTCCAGGATCAGAGAAATGGAAGAGTTGAATTACTGGGAGAGGTTGATTAACGAAGAACAGATTTTCATCTATAAATAGAATATCACTTATGAGGCAATATTACAGGGTTAAGGTGCCTGGGTAGGGTCGCCTGCTGAAGGCCACCACTGCTCTGTATGTAATGGACCATCATGATTCCTGCCTTCCGGAACGTAGCCTTCAACACTTCTGGACAATCATATCTCGGCCGTGAGTCTAACCAGCCCTCGGTCGAACGGCCACTCGTCGAAGGACGATAAATTTTGGAACAGAACTATGATATCTGAAGCCTAACCTCAGATGCGGTGAACATAAAATTACGTAACTTAACGATGCCCGGAAGTCATATTCGATCCGCGGCCTGGTGGTGCACGGCAGGTTCTATGCAAGGCCGGAGGAGGACAAAGCCGAGTGGTTCACGGCTGATTGGTTGACGTCTGGAGAGATCCAAGGCGTTCGATTCCGGGCTTATTGGTGCACAAAAATTGGTGGTGCATGGCTGCGCTTCCCCTGGAATATCACTGCAGAGATGTGAGAGGTATGTCATTCTGTACAAATGGAAGATGTTAACCAGAATGGGGCCAAACTTCAAACGAGACCTTTAGAATTGAGAGACATCACAACGAGAGAAGGTAGAGAATGTGCAAGATCCCCCACAACGTAACAGATCTGCAGTCAGATTCCAATTCCTGCATGAAGGATCATATTCCGTTGCAGGGCCGAGGCTGTTATACGTACTACCAAAGGATCTAAGAGAGGGGGATTTCACCCTGGAGACCTTCAAGAGACGACTGGACGTGTTCCTGGGCACAATCCCTGATCGACCTCCTTTGCAACACTACCAGCTGCGAGAAGCAAGCAACAACATCGTGCATCAGCTGACCCAAATGCGGGCGGATGAGCGATAATCAGAGGCGGCGATCCATAACGTACAGGAGAGTTTGGCCTGGGACTGCTACGTCCGAAACAAATACCAAGGACCAAAGAGTAGGAGTTCAATCACTGAGAGAAATTTCTTAATTGGCATTCGCATTCTAATTTGCGGTCTGTCAGACGAAAAGGTTATAGTTTATGACAATAATTTATTGCTATATCAGGGTACTTCAGGGTCACCTGTGACCTTCCAATCAACATCGGGTCACCACATTCTGGCTGGCATAGTCACCATAGGCCGAACATGCAACTTAACAGCGTTTCCTGAAGGCGCCGTACCACTCAGCACCCCCATATATCTTAACTGGATAAGAGACACCATATCTGCACAAGGTAAATTTAATTTATATAATTGCCAAAACAATTATTCTGATAATTTGGTATTGTTTGTTGGAATCAACTCATTAGACACAATGTTTTTGGCACTTCAGTGAATATTTTGTTGTGAATATGTTGCAGACTGTTATTTTTAGTCTTACAAGGATATTATTTTGTCAGTGAACTTACAAATTGAACTTTAAGAAGGCGTTGGGTTAATTCCAAGTCCATTTGTACCATTATAACATTGTAAGTGTTGTCTGCAGGGGCTCATATGACAACTTGCGTGTTATGAAGAGTCACACGTTCAGTTTCAACAATTGTAATTTAAACGCCATAATTTTGCGAAAAATGAGACAAAATAATCTAAAATTTGTCATCTGGTTCCATGGACTGCGGAGCAGGCCAACGCTTGGTATCTGCGCCAATCTGTGCGAACTCTTGTTTTTTCATTTATTCTTGGCTACACCGCGCCATCATCAAGATAAACTTTGAAACGCACAGATCAATTTTACTCTGATGTGGTGCGAATAAAAACGATTTATGATGAGCAGGGGGAGGCTGTGGCGTGAAGGTGCGACGTACAGACGACAGCAGCTGGCCATGGCTGGTAAGATGTGGTCTTGCTTCTCGGGGCTGTAGATGACAGTTCACGAGTTACTTTTATAGTAGTTCGTAAAGTTGACAATTCATGAATTAAAACATCAACATAGTCATTTCCATCAGTTTTTATTTGTTGTGCTATTTCTTCTTATTTTGCGCATACTTACTCTTATTCATATTAATCGATAATGAGTAGTGGTATGATCGTAAACATATATACATTATATGCGTATGTACTACCCAGTTAAAATTAAACTCTTCGATCTCTGATACATTTACCTCGGTCAACGATATTCCTACATAGTGGTTTGCAACGGTGTACCTCTGTCCTGAGGGCACACAGCGCTCACCATCACCCCCCAGCACCCCCGGCACAAAATAGCCATATAAACACCCGCTCTGGAGCGGCTTTGGCAGTGCACAGCGACTGTTTAGCCTGACAGTTTTTAGACAATTTAAATTTATTTTTTTTCCTCGCCGAGATTACTGATACTTCATTCTTACATTGAGAGGTTATATAGGCATTAGCAAGTCGATATTCCAACCGTAAACACTATGAAACCGTTAAATCAAAACTAAGAAGCAGTGGCACAGCAGTTTTTGAACAGTTCAATTTTCATTAGATTTATGAAACTGGAGGCTTTTTATCATTTATTGGCTTTGTACAAAAGTTAACTAGGTTTAATGTACATTTAGGATAGAATTTTTTTGCGACAAGCCGATTGATTCGTCGATTCACAATGGGCACTGTCGAACGTAAACGTTTCTGTCTAAGTATATAGTTGTTCAAACGGGAAAGGAAACACAATTTTTCCGTAATTTGAAGCTTTGAAATAATGACGTGATTTAAAAATTGTAACTGGAACCAGAAATGGACACAAAATACCGTTATATGTCTCATGAATCAGATTAAGGATGGACTTCCTTTCCCTGTTTCACGGCTCCGTCCAGCTAAATTCGGCCGTTTTGAGCGAATTTCCTCATTTATGATAAAAACGCTTTTGTTTCCCTTACCTTTACCGAGCAATAAGGCTCAATTACCAAAGCATGAACTTGCCTAATCCGGTTGGGATCGCTAAACCATTCCTCCTGTGAACTCACAACCGAAAATTACCAATACAATATGTCTCTTCATAGAAGTCATGTCTCCTTGACTACAAAGTAACCGTTCTCAAACCGATATCATTTGCCAATGAAGAAACTCATGCAAGCGCGCAAACTTACAAGTTTCATCTATTGAATCGTTATTGTTTCTCTATTCTACTGCTAAACTTCGATCCAAAGTTTCCTGAGTTTTGTTTTAGGTGCCACTAAAATCAAACTAATTTTCCATTATTTAAAATCCCGCTACATATTTAAGGATGATAGCATTAAAAATTCTTTAGCTCAATGGATGAATAATTATATCATTAAATCAATGGCTAACTTATTTCATAGCTATAGCTATGAAATAAATTTTGAATACGGAAACTTAGCCTCGTATCATAGTGCCATCAATATGACAGAAGTACATTCAGCAGCCATTATAATAAGAATATAAGGTGGGTATGCAGCATGAAAAGTAAAAGAAGAAGCCGTTGCACCGCTGACACGAAAATCTTTTCATTGATAAGCTAATAACATAACGTAACTAACAAAGAGGAAAACCACCCGACGAGCCATATTGCACACCCTGTTCCAAAATTGGGCAAGAAATACTTGCTACAAATAGGAAGATTTAATATCCGTAAGCAATTTATGTAAAAGTTATTCAACGTAATAAACCTGCCTCACTTTTTGACATTGTTAACAATATGACAATATGCCATTCTTTGAATCCTCACTTTATGTGATATGTTTTTTGTAAGCATGGTACTATTAATAAATTTATTTTGAATCAATACATCTATGCTTGCAGGATGAGTTTTAAATAAAATTTGGAAGTACATTTGTTATCGCTGTATATTGACATAGATTTGATTGGTTACATTTCTAAATTGCTTCCAGGCAGGGCTGTACACGCAGAGGTACAGAGGTGGAGTGAACACCCTAAACTTGTTCTGCAACGGAGTGTTGATGAACCGGCGCTGGGTTTTGACTCCAGCTCATTGTATTCAAAATAAAACGTGAGTGTGTATTAAGAAAAAAATTATTAAGTATTCTACGCAACGGAAATAGTACTATTAATACACGAGACAATCAGTTTGACCTAAAAATCAGATAAGGCTCGTGTGTTTCATAGGAAAATTAGTCGATAATATTACCTTCGGAGAACCCACTATTGACGCTGTAGTATCCGTGTCACAACCATTTTGCCCCAGGCACAAAAAGATAAACAGATAATTGGAGTTTCAAAGCGGGTGTATCATGCGTATCACCTACTGCTGATAACAAAGCTGTTGGTAACAAAATTTGACGATTTAACTGAATCTATATCAGTATATTTAGTATATGAGAATTCTGAGAACTCCGCTTTAGCACACGATGTTTACGGATGCTGAATTATTAATGTTGGGGGTGAGTAAAAGATTTTCATTCCGTACAAATTTGGTACTCCGTTAGTGCACAAAAATTAAGTTGATCCACATGTTAAAGTTTGATGCGGATCGGGACATTTCATGCAAAGACTATGAAAAAACGACGTGTTCTATTCCTATCATTCAAGACACCGAAACGCAATTGGTCAGAGCTCAGGAAAGAGTTACAGATCCAAAGAATTCCAGAAGACGACCAGGTTGTTTAAAGCGTTTAAAAATTTACTCTACCTCGACGATTTTTGCTCATCGATAGTCTACTGATAAGTATGCATGAATATAAGAGCAGAGACTGCAGACTTCGGAATCAAACAATTAAGGAATTTTCCAAAATGCTTCTATGGAGACCCAGAGCTGCCAGAAAGGGATTTAGAACGTCACAGTCTGTCTTAGATAAGATGATTGAATACTAAACTGATCATGATACCGTCTCTGTGAGAACACAAGGGAGTTTTAACTGACGAATGGGTTTAACATCAGTAGATAGCAACTCACAATTTTTGCGACGCAATAGATAGGGGATGGTAATTCCTGCTAAAGGTTGGCCTAACCCATGGCCATATGGTGTGATAGATTTTGTAATTATTCCTGATTTAATTAATATTTAATCCTTTACTCGTAGGTGCTAATATTTGAGTCAATAATAGTACATGTAGACTCATAAACCACATTGAATTTATGAGAAACTCTCGATGTGTTACAATGCTTTTTTCGTGACAATACATAATCTTTAATATTTCTATCCTCGCAAAAGAAACACGGATTAAATGTAAATATTTTTAAGATACATTTATTTAAAAAGATTCAAATCATCCACATCCGAGCAAGCTATATCTGTGGAATGATTTTTGTGTACTCTCAAAATACCTATAATGCAAACCTAGAGGAAATGAATCCAAGAAATGTCTGAGGCAACCCAATCAACTTATCAACTTAGTGCAGAAACGTGAATGTCTTAAAAAAATTTGAGTCTAAGTAATGAGCATTGAGGTTATCTTCGTTTTATTATATATGGTTCATTCAATTTTGTTCGGGTGCGTCCTACAGTAGCCTAAACCACCTTCATTAACGAATCCAAATGAATATTCATCTCACATTCATATAAGCTTCGTCTGGAATAAAATTCATGAAAGTCCAGATCCATTTAAATTGATTTTACAGACTAAACGTTTGAAACTATCACGACAATCTCATGAGAATGGCGAAACTATCATAAACCGTAGTTCTAAGCACCCAAATATTGATCTAAACCTTTAATAGGCTCCAATTTTCCGAGGAAATTTGCCAATATAAACAATCATAGTATGTCAAGATAAAATTTAATTACAATAATGCAAATAAATTATATTACAAATTTGATTGAAATCAAAAGCCATGTTTCAAAATTAAAAAAATGATCTGCAATCGCTGACTAAGAATATCACACAGAAACGTATCACATTTCATATTTGTTTTGGTATGTATCCGAGCTCATCATCGGTAGTTTGTTGAAGTGGGTTCCGTCCTTGGTAACATATTTTATTGTAGACAGAACTGTCGAAAATTCGTGGCTCGTTCAATGAATGCTGTCTCTACTACCAGTGTTGCTCCTCTACTTAAGAACTCTGTTTTTCATGAATGTTAATAAAATAGTTAATTCTTATGTCCTACGAACTTGTGTTTCACTACAAAGAAATGCCTAATTGCTGGCTGTACAAATAATATGAGCGCTCTTCATTACTACAAAACTGCACGTTTTGTATCCGTCCAAATGAGCTCATAGAATTACAATTTTGAGAATTACAATTTTGAGAAAAAGTTTGAGATTTCAAACTTTTTTAGATTACATCATGAATAGGATACTTAGCGATGAAATAAATAAAAACAGACATCCTTGTTTATATTGGTGACAATCGCACTACATTGAGACTTATCATAACATATCCATTTCAGGTACATCTCTGAGGGAGTCATTCGCTTTGGAGGCCCTCTCGGCAGTACAGTATATTCAATAGAGTCTGTTGAGATTCATCGTGAATACGACTCAAGTGCAGCTCGTATGCTTGGCATGGCTCTGTTGCGTCTTGTGGCAGATGTCCCATTCACGGTAAGTCGTGTCGTCCAGGAGGGTTTCCGCTAAACCAGTAGTTTTCAATGGAATATCTACTATTATTTCAGAATTTTAATTTCTATCTAAGCCTCAATATTGATCAATATTCTGCAAACAATGAAAATCCCTCGAACAATTTATTGCGCATTTCAATGTAACAATATAATTTTTTTTTCAGAGTGAAGTGGCCCCGATCTGCTGGCCCCAGCCCTGGGAGGAGCCGCTCCCAGATGGCAGCGTGTATACGAGAACTGCGATAAGACTTGATATTTCCAGTGGGTATTGAGAAAATGGAGTTAGAATTATGAGGTCAGGAAGTACAATAAACAAACATTTTTATGATTTTTATTAGGTGTACTTATCAAAAATGAAATTATTACAACTTCTATCTCTATCAGTTTTAAATTCTGAACTGTCTGCATAATCGAAAAAAATAGATCTCGAAACACAATTATTAAAGTGAAGTAGGGTACAAATATGTTAGATTCAAGTAATCCAAAGTTATTTCTTCATTAGGCCCATGACTTGCTATTCAATAAATGACTAAGTATATCTTATACTGTGTTAAAGCAATTCAATGAATGATCAGGTATCTACTTCTAGGACATTGATATTCAATCTTTAAGTGACTAGGAATCCATTGTTAGGTAATGCATCTAAAACAGACAACCTTCAAAAATTTAAATCAATCAATTTTTCAAATGGAAGCACGCAATGTGCCGGGTACGAGGAGGTAATAAACAGTAACAATAAATATTGCAGCATGAAATACTGCTGCATGCAGATATGATACAGTTACCTTACTATCGATTATCTGGAGCGGTCAGCATCAGAATATCAGAGCTTTAAATTATTCTTAATCATTCATAGAATTATACAACTATTTTGGTACGATTATCGGGACGTTAGACGTTCTGAATTTCTCAAAATTCAGCCGTATTCATTATTTAGTCACAATTGAATCTAAGTTTGCGCAGGCGAATCGTCTGAAAATTCGACTAAATTCTTATAAGTAAGAAGG